CCCCAAAGCCACTGCAGCCTTCCCTAGGGAGGGTGTAGGTAAAATTAACACTTGAGCCTCTCCCTCCTTTTCTTTATGGGTAGATTTCTCTCCAAATTAAGCCTGCTGTCTTTAAGCAGTTTCTTCCTGGAAGCCCCTGATTCTCCCAAATTCCACCCTGGTTCCTGGTTGTGCTCACAGGGTACTCTTCCAGTGACAAGTCCCAGAGCCACGGAGTGGCTGAGGTCTATGAAGCCAGTGAAGGACTCTGACTTGATTCAGTGTCTGTTCAGGAAATACGTCAAATGTTTCATACTTTTAGGTCTGACACCTTTGCATTCTGTTCACAGTGATTCTTCACATAACTTATTTGGAGATTGATATTTTAGCTTAATTGCTCATTCAAGGAAAAATACTTCTGTAGGTGACATATGGTACTGTTCATAGTAAGGTTTGAATTTCTACATTCTACATATTTACTGTCCGATGATCTTTCAGTGGCTTGACAGTTCTTTGTGTCCAAAGTGTCAAGCATGTTAAAGCTGCCATTGACTGTCTCCCTCAAGGTGCAGCTACTGGGAGAATGGCTGGGACTTCCGAGCCCACGACCAAGAGTCGGCAAACACTACCAAGTATAAGCCCTCCACACTGGGCCCAGAGCACACACTGGGCATCTGCTCTGAGAACCTCTCCCTGGACAGAGACAACTCATCCCTCGGAGGGAGAGGAGACGGTGAACCCAAGCAGGATCCCTGAGCTTCCTGCCTGGACCATGGCCACACAGGGCAGTACCTCTCACACCCTCCCAGCCTCTGGTAAGATGCTTCCTCACCCTTTCCTCTCTGCTGTGTCTCCCTCCTGTCCCCACTAGGCTCCCAGACATAAGTGAAATCCTTCCCTTTATCCCTTCTTCACCACCTGAAGCTATGCTTCAGCTAACCTTAAATAAGACATCTGTATGAGCCAGTATGGGTTCAGTAAGGTCAAGCAAAGGCAGCAGTTGTCATTGGCATGATGTACTTTTAACATTTACTTTTTATAACTTTCATTTTAAAATAGTTTAAGACTCACAAAAAGTTGCAAAAGAAGTACAGAGAGTTCTCTGGAACTCTTCATCCAGCCTACCCCAATGATAATATCTTATACAATTGTAGTACATTATAGCATCAGGTATTTTTATTTCGGCAAAGCATTTAGCAATATCTCTCCTGAAATTCACGTGAAGTGGTGAAATGAAGTCAACATTTTATGGCATGGTTAGGTTCATTTGTAGCTGACTAGATAATGATTCCAAGAAGATGTTAGTGACTTGACATTAGCCTGAAAAGCTCTCTAATGACTTGCCCAGCGCTTCCTCCCTCCCCGCTATCTTGTGCATATCACTGAAGCCACAAAGACACACTGGTCCTATTATTTCCTATCTGGAAATAATATAAAACTGAAGTAAGTCTTTCATTGAGATGATGTTACCCCAGTGAGTTCCAACAATGGACAAGTCATGAGAACTCATTCATTCATTCACTCACACTTGAAAACATGTTTTTGCTACCAGACACTAGGCTAGCTGTTAAAAACACAGCTCTATAAATGTTCCCTTTCCTTCCTGAGCTCACAGACCAAGGAGGGAGACACAGGCAAGTAAACCAATAGTTATGACCCAGCCTGCACAGAGCTATTCACATGGAAAGCCCAGAGGGGTTCCTACCCCAGCATAGCAGGAGACACAGACTTCCCCAAGGAGGTAAAAAGTCAAGGAGATAAGGAAAAAAGGATGTTTGGGTAGTGGAGAGGGAAAGAAATCAACTTCATTAACTAGAAAACTCTTAGCTTGACCGCAAAGAAGTCAAGGTTAGTACAATAGCTAGCACCGTGACAATTATACAAAATTAGAAAAGTTTCCAGTATAATATCAAACAAGCAAAAAAAA